TATATATATATATATATATATATATATATATAAGCTTAAATGCTTTTTGTCCATCATAAAAACAATTAAGCATTCTGTTACTTTTCAAGCATTCTGTTACATTGTTTCTTTTACTAAAGTATTTAATGAAGATGCATCTTTTTTTTCCTTAAACAGTATGCACAGAAATGTATCTGTAAATGAATCATATTTCACATTAAGTTTTTTTTTGTTAAAGCTATTATAATGTTTTTGCGACAATTTGACTAAAAGCTATTTGTCTGTATTTGTATTAAATTACTAACATAGTTGTGAAGCCCCTCCTGCTTGTGTCAGCTGATTGTGAAATTTTGGAGAGCAATCAGCTCCATTAATTTATTTAGGTTGTGAAGATAAATCTAGAGCAGACTCGGAGGCCTGCTGAAATATGAGCAAATTAACCTTATGAAATTATTGTGTAATTTCTTCAGTCACAATTCAGCAGCCAATGCAATTATTTAGTATCTGGATTTGAATAATTATGGAGACCAGTGTGTGTGTGTGTGTGTTTTAAGTTATTTTGAAGTTGTCACAAAGCTTAACAAAGTTTTTAAAGAGTATATTTATTGCTTCAAATTTTACTAAGAATGCTGGAGCATGGTTCTGCACATCACAAAGACACACATAACAACAAAAATAATTACTTTGATTAATCAGCTAACATGTTTGGTGTATTTCTTAAATATTTCTTTCATTTTTAAATCACTCATTTATCTCCCTGTTTTTATGCATTTACTTTATTAAATACTTGATTAGTAAACATTTTTAGGTATCATTTAATCTGTTCAGAGATAGAAGACCCGTTATAAATATTTATAACTAATATGCAAAAGACAGAAAAATAGAAAATTGTTGTGCAGTATGATTTGTCAGACCTTTTTGTGTATTTGTGTTTTAAATTAAGTTTTTAAATACTAATTTGAAATATTCTTTGAGCTTTAATTTAACTTTTTTATTTTAGTCAACACTGTTTCCTACATGATGAATTGTTAGTATTTGAAATAACAAACTTTTTTTTTTTTTTTTACTAAAATAATAAGAGTCTAGTCTGGCATTTGTTTAGCATTTATGCGCCATGATATACCTACAAAACTGTGACATTTTTAACAGCTTGTGGAGGAAAATAATTTCTTGATTAATTAAAAATGTCATATGTTTTGTTGGTTATTTAGCCACAAAAACTGTGTAATGTTACAAATGTTTTCCATGACTACCTATATTAATTTCTCAAAAAGAAATCACTTTTGGCATGTTTTTATGATATAATCATTTCTTTTAATTGAATGAACAGATATTTTAATGATAATGACAATTTGCTGAAAACATTTTTCCTATCACATTTAGATGCCAAAGGTTCGATTCGAGAGATTATTCTCCCCAAGGGTTTGGATCTAGACCGACCAAAGCGTACTAGGACCTCGTTCACAGCAGAACAGCTGTACAGACTGGAGATGGAGTTTCAGCGGTGCCAGTATGTTGTGGGACGAGAACGAACCGAACTTGCCCGACAACTTAACCTATCTGAAACTCAGGTACACACCCAAATGTACATATCGATACACACTAATACAATTACAAATTCAAATTCAATCATTATAAAGACTATTGAAATCAGCAATTAAAAAAAATAAAATAATAATAATCACAAACATGTATCACACAAATTTGGCTCTCCCAAAACATATTTATCCTTGTGACGCATGTCTGGCGCATAATCATTAAATGTATTGTTGATACTCTGTACAATGAAAAGACACATAGTTACCTGGTAACAGGTTCTTCTGACTACATGATTTTATTATTATGATTTTTGCTGTACAGACTGGAGATGGAGTTTCAGCGGTGCCAGTATGTTGTGGGACGAGAACGAACCGAACTTGCCCGACAACTTAACCTATCTGAAACTCAGGTACACACCCAAATGTACATATCGATACACACTAATACAATTACAAATTCAAATTCAATCATTATAAAGACTATTGAAATCAGCAATTAAAAAAAATAAAATAATAATAATCACAAACATGTATCACACAAATTTGGCTCTCCCAAAACATATTTATCCTTGTGACGCATGTCTGGCGCATAATCATAAAATGTATTGTTGATACTCTGTACAATGAAAAGACACATAGTTACCTGGTAACAGGTTCTTCTGACTACATGATTTTATTATTATGATTTTTATATTTATTTAATTTGCATTTTGGGTGGTATCCCTTCAGACCACTTAAAACATCAGCGATCCGATCACATCTTCCTGACATTTTCCCGGATAATTCCCTTTTTTTTTTGCCCTCGCCATCAGTGCAATAGTTTGATCGTTTGTTAGTGGCATAAAGGCCTGCTTTACAAAAATAAGCCCAGCGATGCATTTGCGGCACATGCTTTGCGCAGGGGTCAGCAAGAGGTCACGAGTTTGAGATTACATGACTGAACTGTACATGCACTCTCTCTCTCTCTCTCTCTCTCTCTCTCTCGGCCTCGTTTTATCCTCTCTCTCTCTCTCTACGTGTCTCCCTGGATAATCTGCAGCGCGGGGAAACTGACTGCAATAGTAAGGCTCATTTTGGAATCCACATTTTTATTTGTTTATTCATTAGTGAACATGTTCATTATAGCACATGCTTGCGTGACCAAGTACTTCATTTATTAAGAAAAAAAAAGACATGATGGCTCACAAGAAATTTAAGATGTAAAAATATATAGCTGCTTTTTCTCATTTTAACACTCAATATTGCAGTCATATATTGATCAGGGCTCCCCTAATTAAACACCCTGAACACCTGCAAACCGACAATGCTGTCTCAACGTTTCTAATTCTATTGGCCATTTGAACTGTGTCACATTCTATCACATCATCAACCCACTAACGACTTTAAAATTCTTCTGCTCTCCTGTGGGGCGAAATTAAGACATTTAAAGCCCTGAGGCAGATCGGTGCTGCTAACACAGGGAGCACAATAGAGTTATCTTCACTAATGCCCTCTCTAATGCCCCATGCTGCAGTGCAGTTCAAATCCATGCCTTGATTACATTAAAGCTTCCCGTGTCTCTTCTTGGCCGCCTGATAAAGATGAAGTACTCCTTAATGACGGCTTCATGAAATTAACATTGTGTTCTGAAACACTAAATGTTCTGTGGAAAAATCAAACAAGGAAATTTGTGAAAGTGTACCAGCAATGCAGTTTGTATTTCTCAAAGGTAGAGTCGAGAATGCATGGAGAACTAGAGGGAAAAATATTATGTTTTTATAAGGGGGAATTGCTCGTAACTCAATGTTTTTCGTGACCTTCCGGTTCATGGTATCCACAAAACATTGTGAGATTAAACAAATGCAAACAACAAATGTGCATTTTAGTGCTTTAGAGACAATAGCAGGTTTAATATGATAACTCAGTATTTAGCATTCCATTACAACACTGATGAAACTGTTAAGGCGTGTACTTATGTAACTAGCAACTTTGTTAAAACACAGCAGCATATTCTTTATTTAATCATCCTGATCTATCACAAAACGTTTAAATAGTATTATGATATTTATTGTGACGCATTTAAGCTGTTTGTTTTAGTGGGGCTTTTTTTATAGATGTGACAGATAAACTGCATGACACAATTCTGAGATGTTAGTCATACTTCATTGTTCTTATTCCTCTGAAGCTATTATCGATCATTTGCAGTACAGCGAGTATAAAGCGGGCCTCCTTTTCTCTATAGAAAATAAATATATATATTATGATTTTGTTCTGCCATCGGAACTTGATCTAAACATGTATTATCTGGAAATTGCCATTCCTCTTTCTTTGTAATCCTAAATTAAATGGATGCAGCACCATTACGTGGTTCAAAACAGTATTGATCCATCCATCCTTGCAAAAGGAGCTCGTGTTGTGGTGTTTTTCAAAAGAATAAGTGCATGTTTTTGTTCATTAAATAGGTTTATATTTACAGTTACCTTTTTTATTTCAAAATAAGTGTCACTTACAATTTTCAAAATTATTTTTTATTTTTAACTAACCCACTTTTGCCCTTTTTTTACTGCTCCAAAATACATATTAAATTGGTGCATTAAGAACAAAACTTTTCCACTGCTAATCTAATTACATTTTAACTTTTATCGTTTCTATAAATAGACTTCTATAATTAATGTTATCTAAAAGATATTAAAGAATTGTTTTACTTTGTAAACTTTCTTTCTTTTCATTTATTTATTTATATTTTAATATAAATTATTTATATTTATATTTAAATCAATCTGAAGTAGTATTAATATAGTAGCGTTATGCAAGCTTACTGTATTTTCCATATTACATTGCTTTATGTTCTATTTTAAGTTCTAATATCGTTCTCTCGGCAGGTAAAGGTGTGGTTCCAGAATCGTCGCACTAAGCAGAAGAAGGATCAGGGGAAGGATTCCGAGCTGCGCTCCGTGGTCTCTGAGACAGCCGCCACCTGCAGCGTCCTGCGTCTCCTGGAGCAGGGCCGGCTCCTCACTCCCCCAGGCCTGCCAGGGCTGCTGCCCCACTGCGGGAGCTCGTCGCTAGGCTCAGCCCTGCGTGGGCCGTCCCTGGGCATCACCGCTAATGGAGGTTCCTCCAGCAGCAGTAGCAGCAGCGCGGCCAGCTCAGGCACAGCCGGGGGGAGCCCACCGCTGCCGACGGTGACCAGTTCGGGGACAGTCACAGGGCTGCAGGGATCTCCGCCTGCCCACGGGCTGTTTAGCTTCCCTATGCCCTCTCTGCTCGGGTCGGTCGCTTCACGCATCTCCTCCACCCCGCTCGGCATGGCCGGATCCCTCGCGGGGAACTTGCAGGAACTTTCCGCCCGCTACCTGAGCTCGTCCGCCTTTGAGCCCTACTCGCGGACCAATGGCAAAGAAGCGTTAGACAAGAAAGTTTTGGAATGATCGCTAGGGGTTTCTTTTTGTCGGTTTATTGTTGTTGTTGTTGTTTTGAAATTAGTTTGAGCTCTGGTTATCTCTCTTTTTTTTAATCGCTTTTGCCCCTTTTGTCTCATCAGTGCTGTTGTGTTTCCAATCTTGCGTTTTTCATGTCGTCAACCTGCACACTTGATGCCTCTCATTATTGTAAAAAGGTGGACTCATACTTTTCAAAAATGAGGATTTTCAGAGCATTTTGCACTAAATCAAATTTTCTCCAATTTGACACAAATGAGAGCTTGAGGAAGGAATGTAGCAAGAGATTATGGAGGGGAAGAGAGATGAAAATGGTTGCTGAGGCAATATTTTCGGGGCACTTTTTTTCCCTTATACCTTTTTTGGAGCTGGACAGTTATATTCAGATTAAAAACTAATCTGAAAGCTGCTGGGTAAAAACAAAACCGTACAGAACATAGACCCCCGATAAAAACTGAACTCACGGCAACATCCTTCATGTTTTCAGTTGGAAGAGCGATCTAAATGTGTGATTTTTGCA